ATATATAAAAAAAAATATAGACGAGGTACACGATAATGTAAACTGTAGACTGTGTGGTTCATAAGAACATTAATTAGAAAGGAACCGGATACAGAATTTTGGCACAAAAAGAGTACAAAAATTGGTATTACTGTTTAGACTGAGTCACCCACTGGGAATTTTGTAATCAACAAAGACTCGATATTGAAATAAATGACGTATAAAGAAAAAAAAAAGGATTCTTTTTCTAAAGTCAAAAATAAAATTCTCTGAAAATTTGCGCTTTACCCAGATCTCACAAACCAAGCCAGAAGAAAAAATGAAAATGTGCCAGATCATAGATGGAAACCGGTAAGATACATTTGCTCGGAAAAGAAGCGATCTAATTACAGAAAAGGGAGCCGACGTTAATCCGCATCTTTGAGGGAAGAGTTAATTACATTGTTAATTGTAATGGGAATAGTAGCTCTTTCCTCATGAAGCCACATTCGGCATTCATTGATCGATCAGCCGGTGCTATTCGATTTACAATTTTCACTGCCCGGCCCTGGCCAGGGATCAAAGTGTAGTATCTATTACCTGCATCTCCAATGATAATGGTAATATTAACCCTTTTCTTATAAGGGCACATTCGGCATTTATTGACCGAGCAGCCAGTGCTACTTGGGGTTGAAAATCTTTGTATTGAAGCAATTTTTTCAGGAAAATTGTTTTTTAATGTCCGGCAACTATTATCGTTGTTTCCACTTGTGATATTCGTTTCATTCATAAACTTTTGTTCAAAATTGTGTAGAACGTTAACTTCTTGATTATATCATTATTTTTCCTTCGAGATGCATGTGTTATCCTTTTTAGTTGTGGCTACCTCCTCGAAAACACAACCTGCGATTAATGATAATCCGAATTATTTAAACGATTATGATATTCTTATAACATTTGTGATAATACTAAGGAGAAATAGCAAAAATTTCACCCTTGTTAAGACAAGCCCATTAGGTTGCTTTGCATTTCCATTATATTAGTTCAGTTATTTACCATTTCGAATGTCGATGTGATGCTGACTATATCCGTAGAACTACTCAGAGGTTAAAAATTATTATTATCTAATTGAATAATTTGACTACACGCGTCAAAGCATTACGATCTACGATAGTTGAATATTTATGTCATAATCGTCAATGTGCTCCGTTCATTTACGTTCACATTTTCTTATTTTTGAATCGGACAAATTTGGATTTTCACTTGAATTTGTTGAAGATTGTATACATCAATTCTTTACAGGCCTCCCTTTGTAAACAGAAGTAGTGGCTTTGGAGCATAAATAAACTTTGCTTGGCACGCTGATTAGATTACGGTATTCACTAATACACATGTACACACACAATTATATATATATATATATATATATATATATATATATATATATATAAAGTGTCAATAAAATAATGCATTCAAAGACTCGGGAAATAGTTGTGATATGCAACTACCTTGCTGCCACTTAATGTATAGTACAATGTATTTAGCATAAAATTGTTTAAATAAAAGTTTAAATAATCTGGATTCTTTGATTTATAATAGAATCACCGAATCCAAAGGGTGGAAACTAGGCATTATATTTGTAAATAAGAGCACGAAATTGAGAGAATTAATTTGACTTTGCCAGCTAATAATAATGACAAAAGCCAAGTATCTAATTAATGTATCAAATTATCCCGAGTAATACAAAATATGTGTCAGCGGAGTAGATGGAATACAACATATAAAAATTAAAGAGAAAGTAAGAAAAGAATATTATGCGCGTGTGCATCTGGTATTAAATACCGAGATGAATTCACACACCAGAATATCATCCATAAACACTTTGGCTGTCCCGGTGATGCGATAGTTTCAACATCCTTAATTTGACGATATTTGACATTAAGCGAATGGATTTAAAAACAAGAAAGCTTCTCACTAGCCACCGTATGCATCATGCTATGGTGAATATTGATCATCTGTATGTGTCCAGATCCGAAGGAGGTAGAGGATTAATTCAACTAGAATTGTCTTACAAAACCACAAAAATTGGTTTTCAAAGATACCTGGAAAGTAATGCAGACGGGATGATGATCTGTTTCGCAGTAATAAAGTAAGCCAGACAATTCAAAAGGGGATAATGTACCTACTGCAAAGGCAAAGAACCTAAAAAGAAAACAAATACAATGTGCCAAATGCAAAAACCGTGGCAAGATAAGACACTTCATAGACAATACTCTGTCCGTCCAGGACAAGGTGATATAGACAAGTCCCATACTCGTCAGTTGTTACGTAGTGCTGGATTAAAGCTGAAAATGAAAGTTTTCTTCTTGCTGCACAGGACCAAATCTTGCTAACAAGAAATTGCCAAGCACAAATCCTGAAAAGCTGTGTTAAACTGAAATGCACATATTCTGATAAATATCCAGAAAAAAAATTGACCATCTTGTATCGGGTTCCATATTGTAAGAACCCACTGAAAATACAACTCGACATGATAGAGTAGGTCAATATCTGCACTGGAAAATATGCAACTTTTACGGGAACGAAACTGCAAGAAACTGGTATGAATATCACCCAGATGCGGTTACAGAATTAGAACCTATAACAAATTTATGGGACTTTACAATATACACAGAAAGAACAATCAAAACTAATCGCCCAGACACTGTGATCAAATACCAGCAGAACAACGTGCTTTCTCATAGGCATAGCAGTCCCTGCAGAGTGTAATGTATATTTGAAGATCTTCAATCAACTAACGAAATACAAGGATCTTGAAGTGGAAATCTCAAAAGTGAAGACATCAATAATCCCTGTTGTAGTTAGAGCCCTCAGTTTGATTTGAAAAGATTCCGATAGATTCAATGAAGAGATTCATGATAGCCCAGCCTTAAAGAAATAAAAAAAAAATGTATTCCAAAGTACAGTTCACACATTATGAATACATTTATCTATATGAAATGTGAGTGATCTTAGGTTTTTTTTTGTCAAAAATTATCAGTGGAGAACGTCATGAAGCCATTTCTTCTCTTATGTCTCTAGCTGGGACCCGAAAAGAAATATGTATACTACAGAAACACAAGGAAATAATAATAATATTAATAATGCATTTCAAAATCTTTCAACTTATAAGGATCTGCAAATCGAAGTAAAAAATATCTGGAAACCTAAATCTACAATTATCAATGTTGTGATAGGGAAATCGGATATGATAAACCCAGAGTAACGAAAATGATGTTAGTGAAATTCTTGGAAACGTCAGAATCTCAGAGCTGTAAAATATTACTTTGTACGTAACTGCACATATGCTCTGCAAAACCCTATGCAACTCTACTACTGTTCATTTTTTGCTTATAGACCTCGGAGGGGACTTTGACAATTTGGCATATAAAATTACACTCTGGCAAGATGATACCACAGACAATTATAATAATGATACTAATAGCTTTCATGCTTCCTTTTTTCTTTGATGTTAGCTATTATTATTTGCATGTTTTGTCTTGGTGAATGAACATGGACTACATTAAATATCTACTTCAGTACCACAGATTTTTTTTTGTCAGTTACGTAACCCAAACTAGTTGAGAATGTCCCCGGAGGCTGACACACTGAGAGGGATCAATGTCGTCGCTTCAGGGGAACACCGAAAGGCATTTTTCTTTTAGTTTGAAGGATAAAGTAACCAAATTGAATTGCGAGAAACATCTGGATAATTGGGAAAACTTTCAATCGGTGACCGTCTGATCGGATCAGTTTACACAACCTGAAGGTATTTCCAAATCAGGCACACCTGCAAAGTCTTCAACTGCTTTTATCAATACTAGTTACCACATCGAGCATGTTCAACTGTGATATATATGAAGGCTATACACAAATCAAACTGACTAACCTTTTGGGTATATTGGGCTTCGTATATTTATACCCGTCGAATTACTTTGGGGTGCAGATTTTTCGCTCAGTAATAATAATAATAATATTGAGGTTGTTATTGTATTGATGTTGCTTGATCTTATAATGGGGAAAGGTGAGAATATTTAAAAAATACAGTCTTAAAGCAAAAAATCAAGATTACTGAAGGTTAGAATGTGTAGTTCTATAATCGGTACATTAAGAATAGTATAATATAATTTCCCCACATTTTAGCAACATTTCCAGAGAATTTTGCATTAAATATACCCGTGTGATATTATGCATTGCAGAATGACTCTTTAATTCGAACAGCAGAAACCTTCAAGTAGGTACGGGATACCTAAGTCTGCGGTGTGTAGCCTGCTATCCAATCAATGTAAAACTAGCTAATAACATTCAATAAATTCTTAAAAAAATATCCAATACAATGTGCAAAAAGACAATAATAATAGTAAGATATTATTGTAAAAAAAGAAAATTCACATCTTATTAAGCAAACAAAAGTTTGACCTAATGACACAATGCAATATAGACGCTGAAGAATTTGTTTCATAAACAACTGCAACGCTTATGTTTCAAGGGCGACCCATCGTGTTAGTGCAGAAAATAATGCTCGGATGTGTCAATACATCAGAGCTAGTTATTAATTAACTCCGAGAATAAACAAAGACCAATCAGCATGCGTCAGTTTTCATGAATATTCACGTGGTATTTTGGAACGCTACCCATAATTCATTGCAATTACAGCAGCTTTTTCAGTCACGCACCGTCCACCCAATCGACCAGGCCAGCCGGATTTTAACTAATAATGCATAAGGAGCCCTGCTCCTAAATATCCTAATCGGATGGTGGAGAGATGCTCCTAATTCAGTGAAGTTTTCTGAAGTATATAAAAAAAAAAAAAGGAATAAAAAAAAAATAGAAAAAAAATAAAAAATGTTATGTCGTTTCAATGGTAATGCGATGTGTACTGATACAGAGACACTGGTTTAACGATCAACGTTTTGCTCTAGCGAAGAAATGGAAGCTAATTCCTAAGTGTAATAACTTCCTTGTTGTTTGCGCATAACGCAAGGAAAAAAAAACTATCTGGC